GGCTGATGTTGCTGAGCCGTGTTTGGTGGTATGCTGATTGCGGCAATGAGCTTTTTGAGGCTAGGGTAGACAGTCCTGATTTTAAAGCACTTGCGTATGTAACATTTTTGGTAGAGTTTATGGGTCCTAGTGAGAATCTGGCTGCAGTCGAGAAGAAGACTTCAGGGCTTGGCCTAGAGGCTATCAACTGTTTATTTTGGGTGCGGGCAGTTTTTCCCCTCTGGTGGATACGACTTTGCAGCTCCTTATAAACTGGGCAACCTTTATAGTTAGCAGTGTGATTTTCACCGCAGTTGCCGCACTCTTTCGAGTTGTGGTCATCTTTGCTCGCTGGGCAGTGTGCGGAGTCATGAAGCTCACCACAAACTACACACACCGGGCGCAGTTTACAGTAAGACCTTGTATGGCCAAATTCTTGGCAGTTCGCGCATTGTACCGGGCCATTGAGTTTGTGCGGCTCCTCAGCCGTAATACTGCGGTGCAGCAGGAACTGAAGATTGTATATAGGGTGCACTTCGTATTTCTATAGGGGCTTAATTTCTGGTTCGAGCTCAACCTTAAAGAGTGGCTGCGGCATTCTATCCCTGTTTAGGATATTGAAGACTGTCTTAGCGATACTTCGGACTCTATGCCCTTAAGTATGACTTGTAGGCCCTTGCTGCTTTTTAGCTGATACGTGTAAAAGTCCTTTTTTTTTGTCGGTGAGATATTTTGATAATACTCTGTAATTATCTTCAGACTTCGTTTGAACTTTTGTTTCCTGGATGTTGCCCTTTACGAGTGGTATTATGTGGAAGTTCTATAATTTTGTTACAAGAACATTGGAACTTTTTTCTCGTATGTAAATTGGCGGGGGCTTAGTCTTCCTTTTTTCGGCTTCAGTAGATTCGGCATCATCCTCATAGTCTGCCAAGATTTTAAAACGGTTTGAGTTCGTGGGCGTTTCTATTGCAGCTATGTTAGCATTGCCACGGGTTATTTTGCGTTGAGAGTTTAGGGGGCTTAGCTTCCCTTTGATTTGGATGTAGCGATTCATACCAGTCTGCACAGCCGGCTTCATATTTTCTTTGTTTTTGTCCTCTTTTTCGTGCAGCGCGGCGGCAGAAGTATTATTGTTTGCGCTGCCAGCTGATGACGTCGTTAAATGCGCTGTCGTTACAGTTGCGGTTGTTGTTGTTGTTACGGTTGACGTTGCCAAAGAAATTGCGGGGCTAGTTGCTGCACTCTTTGGCTGCAGAGACATCGATGGTAGCAAGGGGGAGCAAGGACGCGCTCTCTCGCTCTCTACGTTTGAGAATTCGGTCAAGTTTGGGGTGATTGGCCGTGTTTGGGAAGAGCTTGCACTACTTTCGGTTGCTTTGAAAGAGAAGTAAGTGTTGTTTCTTTGTACTGAGAGCCGTCTCTCGTCTTGCTCACATTGCAATCGAGGTTGAGTTTGTTAGAATTTTAAGTGTTATGTTTTATGTTAATTAATTAATTAATCAATATAAACATTAGCGATTTGATCGCTGAAAGGGTCTTTTCGCGTTGTTGTTGGCTTACGAAACTTTTTTCTATATTATTGAATACTTTTTTTTCCGGAAAACAATAAAATACACGTCTGCATACGACGATGGTTTAATTGCAAATTGAAATACATAATATGTATATAATATGTACATACATTTTTCGACAAAGATTTAAGATGCCATATGCTCCTTGAACACAAACCCATAATAAGTATAACGTTTTAAGTAAAAACAAGAAGAAACGCTATAGTCGAGTGACGCGACTATAAGATACCCGTTACTGTTTTACACAATTTTAAAATATTCATTTTGCTTGTGGAAATTCACAAGGCACCACATATTGTCAGAGAAAGCTGTTGAGTAATTGATAGTGACGTCACAAACCATGTAAGGCCTTATAACTTAAATTTCTTCATAAGTAGCGAAATAATGTTCCGATTTAAAAAATCTTTGGTAAATCGATAGATATTAACAGAAATAAGCTATACAAGGTCAAACGAAGGCATTCATAATAATATTATATTATAGACGCCACAGTTATGCACGGTTTGTGGGCGTTAGAAAGGGCGTGGCGGAATAAAAACTTGTGACAAATTGCAGTAGCATCTTTAAAATACATCTTTGTAGCTCTTATAGTTTTGTGACCGTTAGAGATGGCGTGGCAAGATGGAAACAAATTAATTTGCAATTGGGGCATCATATAAACCTAAGTGCTAAATCTCTTATAGTTACAGAGATATCAGCTTTTCTAGGAAATGCAAAAGCCGTCTTTTGAGCCTTGTGTGCGGGTGGGTGGTTGGGTGTGGCAGGATAAAAGTACCGCTATAAAATGCGCTGGCATCTAAAGATTATACATTCTGAATTTCAGCTCTAATAGTTTCTAAGATTTCAGCGAGTTTAGTTTTTTTGCGTAGGGCCCTCATGTATCTTCATGGCTTATCTCAACTTTGTATCTCTTAAGTTCCTAAGATCTCAGCGTTCATACGGACAGACGGACAGACAGACGGACATGGCTCAATCGTCTTCACTATTCATCCTGATCAAGAATATATATACTTTATAGGGTCGGAAACGCTTCCTTCAACCTGTTACATACTTTTCAACGAATCTAATATACCCTATTACTCTACGAGTAATGGGTATAAAAAGCAAAATATATTGTATTTAATAACTTACGGTGAAGTCACTGTCCGTGTGAGGCCTTAGGACCTAATATTTTTCCTCTCAGGAAATTTGTTCGTACACTGGTGCGATGAAACCTTAATGCGCTGCAACAGAATTTAGGTACCTTCGTGTCAAAGACGGTTTTCGCATTTTTTAAAAAAGCTGATATATCGGTAAAACAAAAATGAAAAAATCTCGGGAACTGTAAGAGTTACAAAGTTAGCCTTAAGAATACATATTTTAGAGAAAACATTGTAGCTCGACGAAAGTTTTTATCCGGCCACGGTCACTCTAACGCACACAAACCAACGTAATCTGTGGCCTTCATAATTATATAATGTATGTCTTCGTTTGATCTCGTATAACATTTTTTTGTCAATGCCAAATATAGGTTATAGGGCCTCACATGGACAGTGACGTCACCATCTGTCACCATGCTTTTTTGGAAAGCAGGGCAATTGTCTCATACCAATAGTTTCTGTTGCACCGTCGTATGAAAATATAATTTTTTATATTAAGATAAGAGCACTCGGGAATTATTCAAGCCTCGCCACTTGAGAGATTAGTAGCTGGTTCATCGAGCGAAGAATCGGAACCATGCCTACCCAAGATAGTGAAAAAGCGAGTGAGTTGAAGAAGTCGACATAGCTATTAGTTCAGTTTAACACGTTGCGGACGAACATTGTAAAGTTTGTTAAAAGCATTTTCAATTCCCCCACCACCAAGCCGGGAACGTGATAAGATAAAAGTGAACACATCTGAAAATGTTTTTCGTAAATTGCTTATCTATTGTTTACAGATGACAAATTAAAACGCAGTTGCATATACCGCTCTTCAATTGTTTATATACTCCTAATTTTTATTTATGTTCATGCCCATCTATTATATTTTTATGTTGAGATCTCAGGAATTATTAGAATATATAGCTATTTGCAGATATTAGATATTAGTTTCAGCTGATAAATAAATGATATAAGGTTAGAATATTCGGTTCGAATTGGTATATTCTTTTTCTGTTAATACATATCTCTGTACCAACAACTTTTTAAGTCTGATCATTATTCATAGTTTTCAAATTCAAAATAATAGATACCGTTTTTAGCTGTTTTTCATTTTATTTTAAATTTTTATACACTACTCGTAGAATCTAAAACAGGTAGCAATTCTACTATCAATATCATCAATAATATTATGAAGTTTTTGAGGGACTTGGAGGTAAAATCGTTTGATTGGCCGCCCAAAGTCACGATATCAAAATAATCAAGAATCTGTGAGTTTCTATTGAAACCCTCCAATATTTAATAATATCTGTTCCTGCTTTTCTTGTTACTGTTTTTTTTATATATTATTTTTTATTTATTCTTGAAGGATTTGTTTTTAGCCAAATCTGTTTTGTCAAAATTCTATTGGCCATCCAATTTAGTCTATTTGCATTTTTATATTATAAGACTTTTTACTTATAATATTTTTTAAAGTTGTCTATTACCTTGTTACACTTTTGTAATAAAGTGTAAGTTTTCAACTTATTACACAAAAGATGCCATTTTATTTTTGTGAAAATACTTTTGTCCGCGATTGTATAAACAAGAAACGCTGAATTCGAGTGCCGCGACTATAAAATACCCCTTACTGTTTTACACAATTTTAAAATATGAATTGTACTAGTGAAAATGAACAAAGCGCCACCTTTTGTCCAATAAGCAAGTTTACTAACTGATGGTGTGAGGCCTTATAACCTATATATCTTCATAAATAGCGAAATAATGTTCCGATTTGAAAAATCTTTCGTAAATAGATCGCTATTAACAAAATATGTTATACAAGGTCAAAGGAAAACTATAATATTATGGATTTTCAGATTTCCGGGGATTGTGGGCGATACCGGATGAAAACTCTTGTCGAGTTGCAGTAGCATCTCTAAAATACGTATTCCTAAGCTTTTCCAGGTTTTATCGTTGTTAGAGTGGGCATGGCTTGATGGGAAAAAAACAAATCGCATTGGGGGCATCATAAAAAAATACATGCCTAATCCCAAATTTCTATCACTTCTAGTGAGCGAGATATCAGCCTTTTCACAAAAAGCGAAAATCGTATTTCGAGCTTGATGAACGTGTGAGTAGTCGTGACTATGGTACCACCATCTGAAGATTATAAATACTTAATCTCAACTTTTTAGCTCTAATAGTTCCTGAGATTTCAGTGATTTTAGTTTTCCGTGATTTGTGGGCGTTACAGTGGGCGTGACAGGATGGTGAAATAAACTTGCGCTCCGCAAGAATCTTCATGCTTAATCTCAACTTTGTAATTATATAGTTCCTGAGATCTTAGCGTACATACGGACAGACGGGCATGGCTCAATCGACTTCGTTATTGATGCTGATCAAAACCAAACGATTCCTTCTACCTGTTACATACTACATTCGAATCTAATGCCCCTTTAATTAACTAGTAAGCGGTATGAAAACATATGTCACAGGCAGTGGGACAGAACCATAAAATTAATATAAGTCTGGATATAAAGGTTCTTGGGAATAATGTTGTGGATAAGACTAACAAACCAGGCGAAAACGCCACATATGGTTTTAAAAATAGGTGGTGCAAGTAATATGGTATGTCACCGTTAATACTATATACATCAAGCTAACACCGTATAGCGTATTTACTTTAAAATCGGTGATTACAGTGATGGGTAACTTCTAAGTCTAAGCCTCAGACCGTTCGCTTTGCCTTTGCCATTGCTTTGGGGCAATAAAGTTGCGATAAGTCCCGTGGTCCCAAGTCACCACCTGTAATACATATATACACATCGATAAACTTATCAATACATATACCATTTTTCGTTAAAATACAACAATTATTGTATAAGCTTCAACAAACTAAAACAAGATACATTGGTAAAACCCATATTTATCTTCTCGTACTGACTAATTTTTTTTGTTGATTGATGTATTTTATTGATTCTTCATGTGGTTAATTTATTTAGTAATCTCAAAATAAAGTAAAATTTTGTAAAAAATAATAGAAAGGAAAAAATGCGCTCTGCATCTCAAAAAGTAAAGACAATTCTTTTGCGAGACTAAATTATTTTAACTTTGTAAGTTTTTCTCAATACTAGCATGTTTTCAAAAAAGTAGAGTTACAAATTATTATCTTGTATGCATGCATATTTATTGTTATTTTACAAAGAACCATCGAGAAGAGTTTCTATATCACGTAAGCATGACTGAAGTTTCATTTTCTGCAGAAGCACACATTGCGAACCAGACCGAAAGACCAAAACCAAAAACCATGTTAACATATCAGGAGCTAGACACCGACAACGGCGTCAAAGGCGGAGTGGTGAAATTTGAGCTGGAATATCCGGAGGATCAGACGATAGAGGTTCCGCTTCTGATTGACAGCTATGATAACGAAATAAACCAGGTTAGATAACTTTAAGATTACAGGATCTTCGCGGATCGAAATGTTCACGCCTTTTTATCTTGCAGCATTCAGAGCTTGAGCAATATGATTTTAATGGGGAACCAGAGTGCTGCAACCGTCAACCGGGATTCCGGGCCAAGCTTAAGGGCGCGTCAGCTCAGGAGGCCAAACATAAAATACTGCTCGCAATTATTTTGTGTTTCATTTTTATGGTAAGAAGATTTAATCCACCACCGCCCATGGAAGTATACCGTGGAGCTTTTAAGATTAAAATATCCCATTCTAAACAGTAATAAGGGATTAAGTCAATCTGACAACTGTAAGTCACACTTGTTTCTATTTCGTTGAACAAAGATTAATCACAGTGTAATCCGTGTGTGTTCCCAATAAAGAATCCAGTTTGTTTGAGCACGTCTGTTCTGAAGCTGAGATCTGCACATACATAAGAGCTAGATTACCTGCACCCTACAAACATTTTTAAGTAGTCAACCATGGTTACTTAAAAACCCACAAATTCCGAAAAACTGTGAACAAAAAAAAGAACCTTGGGATAAATCATGCAGATTCTAGATGTCTGAACAAAAATATAAGTTAGCATTATCAGTCGGATACACCTTCCATATTTTTCAGATTAAAGTTTTAGATTGACCTTAAATAATTTCATAAGTGCTCGACACAACTCATTTTATCCGCAGACTATTGAATTCATTGGTGGATATATGGCAGGAAGCCTGGCCATTATGACGGATGCAGCGCATTTAGCATCTGATTGCGTTAGTTTCGTCATCGCCATAGTCGCAATTTGGGTAGGTGGCCGACCACCGGACGGACAAATGTCCTTTGGTTACAAACGCTTCGGTAAGCATCAAATTCAGCTTGTTAAAATGTTAATGACCCGCATTAATCCGGGAACTATTATGCATTGAAAACCACTTTGGAAGCTCATCACAATATGGAACATCGCCAATCGCTCATTTCCTCTGATTTAACCAGTAATTAAATCCAATTTATTTATTGTTTTTCTTTTATCTTTTGTTTTTTTGGTGTTGGGTGGCAGAGGTCATCGGAGCTTTGTCATCCATACTGGGTATTTGGCTACTAACCACTTTACTCGTGGTCTTAGCCGTTCAGAGAATCTACTCCCAGGACTTTGAGCTGGACGTCGAAATGATGATGGTTATATCAGGCATTGGCATTGGCATTAATATCATGTAAGTTTTGTAAAACATTTCGTATTTCTTATTAGTTAAATAAAATTTCTATGATTTAATCGCTTTTTATACAACACAATGTCAAAAAGATATCTGGGAATTATGCAAACCATTAGTGACTTTAAAACGATCCAAAAATAATTTATGCTAATGAGGGCAAATTAGTTACATTTTAATAAAACGATTTTTAATAATAATAATAAGAATAACTACGAATTAAAGTAAGGGAAGTACTGAATAATATTTATTTATATAATATAACATATAAAATTCAATCTTTTATACAAAAATATTTCAAAAAATCAAGACTGGAAAATCTGGAAATCTTTATTCATACAATTGCAATATTAATTAAATAAAAAATTCATTTTATTTATGATTATTTGCAATATTAATTTTAAAAGCACGGTTGCTTGCTTGCTAAGGAATAGATTAATGTTGAAAACTTAAAGCTCGTGGAGTAAAATTTTATGAAAGACGAAAAAATTAGAAACAAATATTTTCTAACAACGGAATTTTAACATTTTCAAAAAAGGAGCAATCAATGCTTTGGCGCAGTCGGGAGTCTCAACGGTAAATAACGACAGCTCATACAAACAATATTTAAGACTACGAATAATTCGAAGTGAATCAGTGGAAGAGCTATGCAAGAATGCACTGTTAGGATTACAGTTCGTTTAGTAAGAGAAATTAATTACATTCCTTGCCTACACTTGCTATTTAACGTTAATTAAGTGCCGTTGCTGCAATCTGTTGAGGTAATCTCTGGAGAAACTCTGCCGAAAGTGCTGCTTCTCCATACAACACAGCTTTTAATAGGTGCCCCAATACTTCCACCAGGTTCGTCTTTAACTCGCCTGTGTCTTTGTCATCTCACAGCATTCGAAATATGTTTGCCTTAACAGCGGTCTCCAACAGCCCCCGAAGTGTATCAATTAACCAATGAAATATTATTCACTCGATTTTAGTTTAAAATGTATTTGGCATATTTTATTTTTATACCAATTACTCGCAGAGTGCATACGTATGGTTGTCTGATTTCAGGAACTAAAGCTATATAAAGTGTGGATTAAGCATGTACTTTACAATGATGCCACAAAAGCGTATATATTTTTCACATCTTTCTTTCAATGCCCACAAAACAGGAACTAAAAGATTTAGAAAGTTGGGTAAAGCATGCATATTGTAAGATGCCAGCGGATATTAAGGCAGTGCCATTTTTCGGCTACGCCCATTCTTACTCTTTTTGTAAGAACGTTGAGAACTCGGGAACGATAAGTGGTAAAAAGTTTGGAATAAGCTATAATGACAGAGAAATCATAAGACATTATCTTCTTGAGTGGTGTTCACGACTGAACTTTTATTTGCAAACATTTCTTCTTAGAGGCTAAAAACTGAAGCGAGCAGCGATAGGACTATATACATGCATTGGCATATTTGTCTTATGTATACATATACAACGAGACGGCCGGCTATAAAAGTTAGTTGGTGTAGAGCCAGTCTTCACCGTGGGAATGCATGATCAGCATTTTAGGGCCGCTCGTTGGCTGGATACTTGAGAAGGAATATGTTAGTTTCTATGTGCACATACAATGTATATATTTATATAATTAAAATAGAATCAAAATTATATACTCCGTTCGCTACACTCCCCCGTTAAAATGAATGACGTTTATTTATGAAGTCATTCTAAAATATTTGTAAAAGAATGAGTATAAAATCAAAATAAAATTGAATAAAATTGTATGGAATGATATGATGATGCATATATGTTAGGTCTTAAATGGTTTTTATGTGGGTTCTTATTTAAAATTTTTTTTTTTTTTTTGTATTAAAATAATATAAAGTTAAAAGAAATTAAGAATTAATTAAACGATATAAGAGAACTTTGTATGTTCTTACATATGTATACATATATATTTGCTTAATTATGTTGTATTATTTGAAGAATGGTTTTAACCTATCTTTGCTTACTATCTGTTGTTTTTTTCTTATTGTCTATGATTTTAACATTATTTACATTATCGTCTATACCTATGACCTTAAATGGTCCTAAATAATTTTGATCTAATTTCTGACCGGATTCATTCTTGAGTAAAACCTGGTCTCCGATTTTTAGGTCGAAGTTATTTAGGTCTTTGTCGTATAGTGTTTTTCGCTTTTCTTTTCCCTTTCTAGCATGGTTTTTGCACGTTTGTACGCTGATTCTAACCTAAACTTAATTTCCTTAGCATAATCATCTATGTTATATATAGGATCTATTTGATTTATGTTAGAAATATCTATAAATTTTCGAGCCGGTCTTTTATAGTAAATACAGAATGCTACGAATCTGCCGCGCCTCATCAGAGTTTTAGGTCACTGGTTAATTTTTAATTGCTTCGTATTTGTTTTCATCTGGTAATATACCCTTGACTGTGCACCTATGACCCAGATAGGTAACTTCGTGCATAAAGAATGAACATTTTTCTGGATGAAGTTTTAGGTTAAATTTGCGGCATAACTGAAATACTTTTGTTAAATTGTTGAACTTATGTTGTTCGGAGCATCTTATGACTACTAAGTCGTCCATGTATAGGAACGCCTGTGATGGTTCTAGACCGGAAAATGCTAGGGTCATCATTCTCATGAATGAATTTGGTGGCACTTTTAGTTCGTATGGCAATCGCGTATAGCGAAATGAACCTTTATTTGTAGAGAATGATGTAAGGTTTCTGTACTTTTCGGACAACTCTATTTGGTGAAATCCGGACAAGAAAAATATTTACCCCGCCCTAACTGATCCAATATATCTTCTATGCGTGGTAAAGGAAATTTGTCAGCTAATAATTTTTTGTTTATTTGTCTATAGTCAACCACTAGTCGCCATCGTTTTTCTGTTTAATTTGGTAGACATATTTTTGGAACCAACAATAATGGACGTTTATATTCTGAAATTGATGGTTCGACTATACCATCCTTTATTAATTTGTCAACCAGTTTGTTTATTTCTGGCTTTTCACTTTCTGCATTTCTATAAATTTTTATATATACCTGTGTTTTATCGCTTAAGCGAAGTTGTTGTTTATAAAAATCCGAAGATTGCAGGCTCGGGTCCTGTCACGGTCGCCATATAATGACAGGAGAAATCATAAGACATTATCTTCTTGAGTGGTGTTCACGACCGAACTTTTATTTGCAAAGAGGCTAAAAACTGAAGGGAGCAGCGATAGGAGTATATACATGCATTGGCATATTTGTCGGCGCATTGAAACTGCGTGGTTGTAAATGTAGGTGTGTGTGTGTGCGAATATACGTTTTCGGGTATTTCACTTGAATAGTAATATTGCTTCAGCTTCTTGCGCTGTGAGTGTGTGGTTGCCAGGCAACCGTTGCCTGCATGTTGTCGCTTTGCGAAGTGTCGCTGTGGCGAACCGACGGCGTTGCGTCGCTGCCGCCAATTGTTGTCGTTTTAAGAAGTACCGTTATAGCGAGGCGACAGCGTTGAGCCGCTGTCGCAGAGCGTGGTTCGGTAGTAGGCACAGTAGACAGAGAATTAGACGCAAGCAGTTGCGTACTAGAACTTGGAGTGTATGTAAGGCCAAAACTCGTTGCGCAGACAACAACAACGATCATGATTCGACATCAGAAGTGGGATCTGGCCATCAGCTTTCAACACTAGATGGACCACGGCGTACCCTGATGGAATTGCAAAATAAAAACTTAATTGAACTAGTGAGAGCCATAAAAACAACTGTACCTGATGCAGGGCAAAACGAAACTGTGCAACTACCCAAATTCAACCCAGGCAAACCAGGCGCAAACTCATCATCGTGGTGCACAACTGTTGAAATAATTTTACAGGAAAACACATTGAGAAGCAGTGCGTTGGTTATGGCTTTGAGTTCAGCTTTAGAAGGAAGTGCTTCGCAATGGCTTTCTCAAGTGTGCTATGCTGAAATTAATTGGCCCGAGTTTAAAGAATTGTTTATATGTACAACGCATCGACACTATAGAAACATCAGCCGCTATGTTTCTTAATATGCTATCAAATTGACCGACTGATGGCGAGAGTCTGGCCGTTCATGCAATTCGCAAGGTTACTGAACTAACGACGAAATGGCGCCAAATGGATAACGAAGAGATTGCTGTGTCAGTGACCCTTGCGCTGCTGGCTAACTTCGATCATCGATTGCAGCGTTTAAGTTTCACATCAAATTTTCGAACCAGAGGCGACCTACAGTCCGAATTAAAAGCGCTCACTTTTATTAAAAGGAAAAGCCGCGCTTTGAAGCATCAGTCCGAAACTTATTCTAAACGGCAAGAACAATCACCGATAGAGTGCCATTTCTGCGGAAAAGTGGGCCATAAAATGTGAATCAATTCGCGACTGATAAAACCCGATATGGCAAGCATGATGTTCATCACCGTGAAAAATCAAATGTTACTTGCTACAAGTGCGGAGAATTGGGTCATATATCTACCCAATGTACAAAGAAGGAAGCTGATAAGAACAAGGCATTCAACCGGGAAAAGCGAGGGGAACAGTGCAGCGTTGCATTACCAAAGGGATAACGGAACCATAGAGGCCAAATTTTTGAAATCACCTTCGATTCGGGATCGGAATGCTCGTTGATAAAAGAAAAGCTAAGTATCAAATTTTCTGGTAAGAGATTCAATAATATTGTTATGTTAAAAGGTATCGGCAGTAATGGATATGTAGCATTGTACAAATATTAAGCAATGTAAAAATTGATGATTATTGTATTGAAATTTTGTTTCATGTAATAGGCGATGATGATATGCAAAACGACATTGTAATTGGCCGTGAGATACTAAATCAGGGTCTTGATATTGTCATTTCATCAAACTAATTTAAAATCTCAAAGACCAAAGTAGTTAATTTTTGTACCGGCAAAGAGCCATCCGATATTAATACTGAGCTTGAGGGACAAGATAAAATAAAACTACATCGATTGTTGGCAAAGTACTCAAATTCATTTATAACTGTTATCCCAAGTAATAAAGTCAGAATTGGCGAAATGAAAGTTAGGTTGATTGATCCAACAAAAACCGTACAAAGAAGGCCATATCGTTTAAGTCCATGCGAGCGAGATTTGGTTCGGGACAAAATTAATGAACTACTAAAATGCAAAATAATTAGGCCAAGCTGCTCACCTTATGCAAGCCCTATATTATTAGTGAAAAAAAAATGGTACGGACAGACTTTGTGTTGACTTTAGAGAGCTAATTTCAAATACAGTCGCTGATAAATACCCTTTACCACTTATAAAGATCAATTCAATAGGCTTGGAGGAGTTAATTACTTTACATGTCTAGACATTGCCAGCGTATATTACCAAATTCCTTTACATTCAGATTCTATCGAGTACACGGCGTTTGTGACTCCGGATGGTCAATACGAGTTCCTATCTATGCCATTTGGGCTCAAGGGATTAAGGGATTTTCACAATTAATTAAACCGTTATATTTCTTAACTGCAGAGAAAAACAATTTTATTTGGAAAACAGAGCATGAACAGATACGGGAAAAGGTAATTTCCACTCTTACCAATAAACCAGTCCTTGTTATTTTTTAGCCTAATTATCCAATCGAATTGCACGCAGACGCCAGTTGCAGTGGCTACGGTGCAATTTTATTACATAAAATTAATAACAAACCCCAGGTAATAGAATACTATAGCAAAACTAACTAAAACTAACTATTTCAAAAACTTTTCTCTGCCTGAAGATATTGCGAAAACCTATGAATTTAGGGCAGAAGTTCTTCATCGAAAAATACAAAGAAATGGGAGAACACGTTGTTTACCAGTGGTGCCTCGAGCTTTCAGATGGTCTGTCATAAATCAAGTTCATGAGTCCATAATGCATCTAGGTTTCGAAAAGACATTGGATAAAACTTAAGATTTCTACTAGTTTGACAATATGTCAAAATACGTAAAAAAAATTTGTCGACAACTGCATCACTTGCAAAATGTCAAAATCCACTTCAGGAAAAATGCAGGCTGAGTTGCATCCAATACCAAAAGTCACTATTCCTTGGCAACGTCACAATCGGTCTTTTGCGCTGTATGTTTGAAAATCGCATGATCAGCCGAAACGGCGATGTCAAGAGGCCGCCTTGCGGCTGCGATTTGACCCCGTTGGACTAGTTTTTGTGGGGTGCCGTCAAGGATAAGTGTTACGCCAACCACCCAGAAACGATTGAGGACCTAAAGCACGAAGTTGCCATCAGGGCCATTGAGAGCCAAAACATCAAAAATGTGTTTAAAAATTGGGACGGAATGGGCTACTGGAAAGTCAGCCGAGGCAGCCATATGAACAAAGTGGTGTTTCATACATGAACCGCAAAGTTGAGGCTATCCATTAAAAAAAAATTTTGAAAAACATTTACTCGTTGTTTTTTATAGCAATTTTAAAACACTCTTTACTTAGATGAATTTTTCAGATGCGTTTTTACTAATGGAACGTTTTGTCCCTCAAATAGACGTTCCACTGCTGATAGCTCCACTGGTCGTGTCCATGATTTGACCACACATTTCGTTTATGGCTTTAATAAAAATGGAATGCGCTTGGTAAAACTTGTCCTCATATTGACTTATTTCCAATCCAGGGTTTTCATATCCCTCCTCCTCGTTAAATTTAACTAAATCACCGGAGAGGTCCATAAAGTGGTTGTAGGTGGCTACAAGACGATCACATCCTTGTGAAAACTCCGAAGCGCTGTAAAGGGTGCGACTTATTAACCCCTTGCAGGCACAACGTTGTTGAATTGTACGATGCATTACAGAGTTCATGATTAAAAACAGCGGCTATTTTGTCTTTTATTATTCACAAATAAACTCGAATTCAAACGCATAAAATCCGGCTCGAAGGACCAAAAATTTTGTTATGTTTGCGAATTAAGTGGACTGTATTTCTTTTTTTTAAAGGGTTCGAGTTTATTTCTTGAATACAGGCGGGCTTACAAAATGTTTTAAGCGGGTGCAGGTTGCGAGCGGTTGCGGGTACAAAACTATATATAACTGCCGAAAATACGTGCAGAAAAGATAATGCAGAAAAACGCGTGATATTACAATACTAATACAGATCTACTGCAATTTTGGCTTTGCGTGTGAGCTTAAAGCTTTGATACAGAATACAAAACAATAATGTGCATTTAACTAGCTACTTAACCGTATATACGTTTGAATGTGTGGCTTCTGGATGGTATAAAAATCGGGACTGCTTACTTCAAAATTAACAGTCCATGTTTCGACTTTACATTCAGCAGAACTAAGAAAACTTGTAAATGAAAGTATTAATCGTCGACTGGCAAAAATTTCAAATCTTGAAAATAAAATAGAAGTCTATAACAAGAGAGCTGATAGTACTGATCAAATATTTGAGAAAGTTCTTGAAAAGATAAAAGTTATTCAGGATTATATTTTTAAGTAAGTATGAGAGTTTTCAACTTCATCTATTTATACCCGTTACTCGTAGATTAAAAGGGTATACTAGATTCGTTGAAAAGTGTTTAACAGATAGAAGGAAGCGTTTCCGACCCTATAAAGTATATATATTCTTGATAAGGATCAATACCGAAGTCGATTGACTTGTGCCGTCCGTCTGTCCGTACGTCTGTCCGCCCGTATGAACGCTGAGATCTCAGGAACTATAGCAGATACAAAGTTGAGATTAAGCATGAAGATTCTTGAGGTTTCGGGACAACGCCAGTTTATTTCAGCATCCTGCCACGCTACTTATGAAAAGATTTAGGTTATAAGGCCTCACATTGGTAGTCACGTCACTATCAGTTACTCGACATGCTTTTTCCGACAATAGGTGGCCCTTGGGGAATTTCCACTAGCAAAATAAATATTATAAAATTGTGTAAAACAGTAACGGGTATCTTTTAGTCGCGGCACTCGACTTTAGAGTATCTGCTTGCTTAAGGTTCTTTAAAGGGCTTTAAATTTCTACAATTTGCAATCGCTGCTCGTTTGTAAGTCTTTGTAAGTCTAAAGTAAAATGGCAGATTATACTGAAAACTTTTTGCCAGAAACTCGTTTATTACAATCTTAAGGTGGTACGTTTACGGCTACCAAGTGCGAAAAACGGTAGCATCATTTTCTAAGAACGTTGAGATATCGATAACTATAAGTTATAGAAAGCTGGTACTAAGCATGTAGTTTTCAATTAGACCAAAAAATTGTTTTTCTCCCTTCCACTTCTTGAAATAAAACTGGTGATGCTGAGATGCATTAAGGCTTATGTTTTAGTATAACCCTTTATATTTTGTTAATATGTATCTGTTGACCGATTTATTACTTTTTAAGTTATTAAGTTTATTTTATGCCTTATGTGGTATGAGATAAAGATGAAGATGATAAAATTGTATAAAACGTTAGTTTCGGTTTATTTATATAGTTTCTCTACTACTACTACTACTACTACTTAAAATAATCTTTAACAGAATGATGCTCGTTTTACATGGCTCCTGGACTCAGAGCGACATACGACACGGCCACAGCCACAATCACGGATCATCCCGTAGCCATCTCGACTCCTACTCTTTTCCGGCAGTAAGTAGCGAAAGTTTAGTAATGACAGCGGCAGAGAAGTCATCGAAGATAACTGAACAAAATTTAAGTGGGCGTAATATTGTTATAAAAACGTCGAGGAAACCATTACAGAAGTCTGGGTAAGTGGTAAAACATACAGGGGTAAAATATGACTTCGAAATCAATTGTAGGCCTTTAATCTTTGTTGCTAAAGGAGTAAAATTATATAATTTATTATTTAAAAATATTGTGGTTTCTTGTGAAATTATACTTAAACTATCGGAAGGTTTATTATGACCAAAAATGAGGGCCCTGACGCTCACCAGGAGACGGCATGAGTTGATCAGATGGTCAATTTCAAGTTGTTCGCCGCAATGGCAGATGGGACGTGGTGTTCTAGTTAGAATATGGTCGTGTGTTGCTGGGGTGTGCGAAAATCTTGGGAACTATAAGAGCTAGAAAATTGTGATTAAGAATACGTATATAAGAGATGCCACTACAACTTGCCCTGGCCACGCCCACTCTAACGCCTACAAGCCGCAGAATATTATGGATAATATTGTGCATAACATTATAGTGTATGTCTTCGTTTGACCTTGTATAAAATATTTTTCTCAATCTCTATCGATTTTTCAAAGATTTGGCAAATCGGAACATTATTTCGCTATTTATGAAGAAATTTAGGTTATAAGGCCTCACATGGTTTGGGAAGTCACTATCAGTTACTCAACAGGCTTTCTCTGACAATAGGTGGCGCCTTGTGAATTTCTACTAGCAAAATAAATATTTTAAAATTGTGTAAAACAGAAACGGGTATCTTTTAGTCGCGTCACTAGACTATAGCTATTCTTCTTGATTTTATACCCATTACTCGTGAAGTAAAGGGGTATTTTAGATTCGTTGAAAAGTATGCAACAGGTTGAAGAAAGCTTTTCCGACCCTATATAGTATATGTGTAGGGTAGTACAAATTGATAATGTTTATTTCGGATATATATAAAGGTAAATTAAAGAAACAACGGTTTTGTATTAAACTTCACGACTTCCGCACTCTAAGAATGACACTTGCTCTCTTCAATATTCGCAATTTCTATTAGGAAGAGGGTGATGGGTATAGACATTCTTTGATGAAAAGAGACAGTTCTATATGGCGTTTTAAAAAAAATTTAAACAAGGTCAAACGAAGGCATACATTTTAATTGCCGCTGTCCACACTCACGCGAGCCGGCTGCTTAATACCTTAATATACCCATATCCCACATATATATTCTTTATCAATATCAATAGCGAAGACGATTGAGCCATGTCCGTCTGTCCGTATGAACGCTGAGAAACATTGACATTCTGTATGCCAATGCTTACATTAAGCTCCAAAAGAGATCAAAGATTATTTGAGTCGATGTTTTGGTGTGAGTGGGGGAGGTTTTGTTTAATAAGAACACCAACGCCTTGCTTACCACTGATATTGATGTGGAAATAACCAATGAAGCCCTTGGGGCAGACAAATTTTATAAAGTTACAGGGCAGGTTTGTTTCTTGTAAACATAAAATATAAGGGGATTGTTCTTTTATTTATATTGAAACTTCGTGGTAGTTGTTAAAAATTCCGTTTATATTGCATGGTAATATTTTAATTGGCATAGATAAAAATAAATAAATGCAATGTGAAAAACTGGACTATGAATCCAATGCTTCCATTGATGAATCGGAGTGGGATAATATTATATATATATAATATATATATTATATTTAAGGCGTTAGAGTTGGTTGGGGATTTAGGTAGAGTGCTTTTGTTTGGTTCTTCAATAAGACCTTTAATAATATTCGAGCGATCGATTGGGCTGGTAAAAGAGGTCAGGTCTTGTGTGTCGGGTGCAGCGGAGAGAGAAGAGGTTGCCATGTACGTAGAGATCGTGTTGGTTTCACTATCGGGCTTCGGAGTTAAGGTATTTGTTGTTGTTTTCGTAGTTATCGTGTTTTGGCGTGTTCGGTCGGTTGTGGACGGAAGGCTTGCTGCTCTGGCGACAGAAGCGAAGGTAGTCGATGCGTTGTTATTGTTTTTTTTTTTGTTGTTGCTGTAAAATATTGCGGTCTTCACGGAAGCTGCATTTCTTGCTTGTTTTTTGCAGGCATGTTGGTGAGGAGTCTGGATGATCGTTGCTACAGTTTGCGCAAAAAATGCGAGTGCAGAAAATTAAGAGATTAATGGAGTTTGATCTCAACCTCAGCTATGCCGGGCAAAGATTGAATCTTGGTAAACATATCGGCGTCTTCTCAGAAGTTAACCAGAAGGAGCAGATTACCATCACGTAGGATAGAGATCGTAGAGATTTCTTCGCTAATATGCTTAAGAGCACGGTGGACTGCGAAGCAAGAGTTTTCGGATAGCGGTTTAGTGGATTTGGAAGCAAGAATAATAAATCGAGGGTTCTTTTGCGGGGTAAGGGAAAGTTCAGGAAATCGACTGGAAGCTTTTGAAAGGGCGATGGGTAGGGGTAGCGGCAGCTATTGCTGAGGCGGTCACTGGTCTTCACCTTTCACGTGAAGGGCCTTGGAATTACCGCTGCTGCGTTGCCGTTCGTCTCATAACTTAGCGGTTGCATTATTTTAGCCACTTGAATGGTTTCTGACGGCAGGTTGGCTCAGAGGGCTGATGAGGGGAGTCACGGTGTTTGGTATCCGGGTCGAGAGGTGGTGAAGGGAATGGGGCACTTGGCCGGTGTTCAATTACACATATTATAAGGAGGAAGTCTTTAGTCAAGTGTCACCACTATTAGGTTCCAGATAATTGTTACACCATGGTCATCTGTTAAATTAACCATAAATGTTTATTGACTTACGGTTATAAAGTGATGTAAGTATGATAGTGATTAACTGTCCAATGTGATTATTTATACCATAAACTTGTTAATAAATTACGAAATAATGTTCCCGTCTTTCAATCTGTTGTAGTTTCCAAGATATATATATAATTAAATGCTTGAATATTCGTAAGTCCAAAAAAATATAATTTTATTTTTATTAAACCGAATTATTACAAGATTCTTTGATTGAGAACACCGACTCGAACAATCTCGTGTCTTGAACTGAACTGAACTTATCTTAAGTCTTAATTTATTATGAAGCCTTGGTTTTGGGCTTTTACAATTATTGTGTTCTCTGAGAGAACTTTCTTATATCTAAGCTTAATTCTCTTGTATTCAAGTTTGATACTCTTGGATACAAGATTTCTCTTTTCAAATGTCCGTAACAGGACTCCTACTTTAGCCTTGATCGTCTGTGGAAAATTTTGTTATTAATGTTTAGACTAAGAGTCTGAGTAATAAGACTCTTTTGTTTTTCAGTCGCAGTGTGGGAAAGAATTTCGGTCTGCGATCTGTCTGTGTTTAGATAAAAGGTTTGGTAATCTTCCATGTCTGTGTTTAGATAAAAGTGTTTGGTAATTTTCCATATTCGATTAAGTTTACATAGAAAATCTTTCTTATGATTAAGTGGAGGTGACGAGGTTATTGTAGATATGTCACTCCCCCACACTTTGATTGAAGTCTGTCCTCAGACGTTAATATTTGGGTATAGGGTTATGTTTTCTTCTGTGCTTATTTGTGGAATTATATCCTCACAGGTTTTGTTTTCTTCGTTTTTCTTAACATACTTTACAATAAGTTGTTTCGCAATACTCTTAAATTTAAATATTACATACAATATGATGCTTATTATTACGATTACAAATGTCGTGATACATATAATCTAGAATGTGCTGTAATATTTAACTTGAGAATTTATTATTTCTTTTGTTTGTATGTGTGAAATTGGTTCAATTTTTGTTATGTTGTTGCTTACATAAATGCTTTGTGTATAATCTGCTATGGAATTTGATATTATAAATTCATCCAATTGGATTGTACAATTTTTGATTTTAATCATATTGTTTCCATAGATAGAAATTTGATTATTTATACAGTTTTGGTTTATAAAGGTTTTTGGTAAATTCCATGTTAATAATATATTTGGTTCTACATAATTTATTTGTTGGTTTTTGTGAGTTTTAGTGTATTTACATTCTGTTTCTTCTTGTTTTATGATTCCAATTATACATTTATCAAATATTTCTATTCCTGTTTCTAACATAAAAACGTTTCCTTTATAAATATAAAATTCTTTAGATGTATCTTCTGTTAGTATATTTCCTAATCTATCCGGGTATGGAATTATTTTAAAAATTGGTGTTTCAATTAATTTGTTGGGAATTTGAGAAATAATCAAAATTTCATTTGTATCTGATTTTAACCATGTTGAGGTTTTTACTTTAAGAATCTTCTCTGAATTCACATGATCTAAGTAGTCATGTTTTAATAGTTTTGGGTTGAATATACCTAAACGGGTCAATTGCATTCCTAATTCTATATCTTCAACGTATTCCGTGAATTGCTGCAGATTGAAAATTAATACAGCTACTTGGCTATCTTTTTCTTTTTGTTCTTTGAAATTGTTTATGATGTTCATGCCGCTATTAATGACCATATTTAAATCGTTATTTTGAATAGAATTTTCTGATAAAGTTTTAATTTTTTCCTCTAATTCTGCTCTGTCTTCTTGGTCTAGTGTTCCAAATAAATATTTATAAGCTGAACCTATTGCGTTAATTAAACCTCTTCTGCTTCGTCTTACTATTTTTATTCCATTTATTTCTCTATTTAACTTTTCGACTAAGTACTTAATTTGGAGAATGTTTTCGAAGGGTTTTGCTTCTTTTAATAAGTTTTCATAAGTTCTTTGTGTTTTTGTTAGATTTACGCTTAGGTAGTGGTATTCGAAATCTGTTGGGATTGTTATTGTTCCAGTTTTAAATATGAAATATCCATTTTTCGCTTCGATGGGGTTTATTTGTTTTGTCCGTTGTTGTTGTTTTGTCCGTTAGTTATCGTTGCTAACTGGATTATTAAGATTAGTACGTGTAGTAGATTGGGCTTTTTCTTCAGTTCTTCTGGAATTATCACATTTACTTTTATTTATTTATTTATTTATTTATCTAAGGCTAACAATTAGTTAAAACTAAGAGCTAACAAATGGCTAGGAGCAATAGCAGCTAGGGCCTTCAGCTCGGCTTAAGTTAGAATATGGCTGGTGAATTTTTGGCTTAT